GGGAAGTGATGGGTGCTTGAGTTAGTAGTTCGTCGTTATGCATCAACTATCTATCAAAAACTAATATTGAAAGGTTAAAGATGGGTGAAGGAGTTGAGTGAATGGGTTATGATGGTTTAGGTAAGGGGATTAGATCAAGTGCAAGATATGTATACGTCTGAGGAAGGAGAACAGGTTGTTAAAGCAGAAAGTATGGGATTCTGTAAGGATGTCTGGGAGGTTGGTGAAGGAAGGGGATTCTGTAAGGATGCCTGGAAGGTCAGTGAAGGAAGGATTGGTGGGGGGAAAGCAGAGGTATGGGCTGCATCAAAGCATGGACAGGACAAAAGAATGTGTGGAACTGAAAGAGGGACATTACATAGGGAACATAGGGGCGGATCAGAACGTGACACCAGATAGGAGTGTGTTTGATGGGCGTGACCAATATATAAGTGTGCGAGACCTATCTCCCACTGTCTGTTTTGGTGAAATGGAGCTGACCAAGAGGAGACTGATAGTTTTACAATATGTAATTCATTAATGTGGAAACTTGACCAGAAAGATTGGCATCGGGTATACAGGAAGGTCATTAAAAATAGTGAAAGAGGAAGAAGGGAGTGAGTACATATATTTTAATACATTTACGACAGGTGTCCCACATATGAGACATCTGTAAAAAAAAAATTTGCCGGGTGTCCCACCAGTGTGACACTGTATTGGGGCTTGCGCTCTGACTTAGCAATGGGCCGCAGCCAGCGCGCGGGCAGAGTCCAGGCCAACCCCGTGTACTGATTTTGTAGCCATCCGCAAACGTTTATTTTCGGCTTCAAAATATACCTGCATCACTGGGTTAAGGCAAAAAGTAGAGCGTACAGTTCTGTAGTAAGGACACTAGATTCACGAGGGAGGGGTTATTTGAAAGGGCAAATTGGGAAGTTTACTGCAAAACCAGCACCGGTAAAAGATTTGGAGCCATCAGTGTAAACATGAATACTGGAGGAATGAATGGAAACATGATCAAGGAAATGGGTGAGAAGGACATAAGGGAGGATATCTGATTTTGGTGGGTCAGGGAAAACAGAGGAGCAAACACAGGGGTAACGTATTGGCCATGGTAGAACAGAATAGACAGAAAACAGGAGAGGTTGGTGATGGAGAAAGGAGGAATGGCAGAGGAGGGTATCCATGAGAATGGAGAAAGGAGTAGGTAAACGTGGAGAAGCAAAGGTAGGAAGTAGGGATCGTAGGATAGTTAGTTTGGCGAGGGAAAGTTGGTGGAATCGAGCATAGCACTGGAGAAAGAGAAGGGTATGGCGTCCAGAGAGAGAGGGCATGCCTGATCCAGTGTATAGGCTCTCAACTGGAGAGGAGCAGAGGGTGCCTAGGGTTATGCAAAGACAGCAATGGTGGATTGTATCAAAGTGAGCAAGAAGGGCGGTTGAGGCAGAGGAGTAGATATGGCATCCATAATCAAGGGTGGAGAGGATAAAGGTAACATAAAGATGGAGGAAAGTTTTGAAATTTGAGCCCCTGGATGTGTGGGAAAGAGTTTGTAAGATTTGGAGGCGGCAGTGAGCTTTTTCTTTACTGTAAAAGATATGGTCTCACCAGGACAATTTGGAGTAAAAAATAGCACCTAGGAATTTGCCAGAGGAATGGTATTAGAGTGGAGCACCATATAAGAAGAGTGGAGGTTGGGGACCTACATGTGCACGAGAGAAAAGGATAGAGAAAGATTTGGAGGTAGAAAAGCGGAAGCCATGGTTAGAGGCCCAGGAAGATACTGATGATATTACAGACTGAAGGAATTGGCAGAGATTTGGTATGGATGTGCCAGAGGTGTAGATGGTTAAATCATCAACATATTGTGATGCCTGGGCTCCTGGTGGTAGAACTGAAACAAATGTCATAAACAGCAAGAAGGAATAAAGTGGTGCTTAGCACAGTGCATTGTGGGATGCCTTCAAATTGAGGAAAGGATGATGATGTGGAAGAGGCAATTTTGACCTGGAAAGTGCATTTGGAAAGGAAAGACTTTATGAAGAAACATGTTTCTGTGTATGCCTAGGGGGGACAAGTGTTGGAGAATATGGTACCACCATGTGGTATCATATGCTTTTTCTAAGTCAAAGAATATGGCTAATACAGATTCATAACATGCAAATGCAGATGTAATATAAGAATGAAATCAAACTCGGAAGGAGAGGGAACATTGTGAGATTCAAGGTACCACACTAAGCAGAAGTTAACCATTCGCTCTACTAGTTTGCAAAAGCAGCGAGTTAGAGTGATGAGGCAGTAATCTTGAGGAAGGGTACCCAATTTATTGGGTTTCAAGAAGGGGAGGATAAGAGCTTCTCATCAATGAGAAGGATAATTTCCTGATGTCCATATGTGGTTCAAAATAGTTAAGAGGAAAGATAGAGAGGAAGATGGGAGGTGTCGGGGCATATGATAATGAATAAAAGTCAGAGCTTTCATGAGTGTTGCAGCACGACTGTAAGGCAGCGACTGTTAAGGG